TGGAGAATAATTTCATTCAGCTCTTGCTCGATCACCTTTTTTTGAAGCAAAACCGTCTTCGTCCTTTTTCTCCTTTCTAGAGCTCGTAGGGCCTTCTCCGTCTTCTTCCTTCTCTCAGTTAGGGACCCAAAAGCCATGGTAGTCCAAGCTTTTAGTTTTGATTCCACATTCTAGATTCGATCCATCAAGTTACTTGCACCTGCTCCCATCCACCCCTCTTCCACCACCTTCCCACAGTCATCATGCCTTTCCCACATATGTCTAGATGGTACACTCTCATATGTGGATATAAGCCCATCTACTCTTTGTTTCCCATTGCTCTATCAAGTCTTTCCCCCGTATAGTTGTCCTCAGACTTATTGTTTTCTCACGTGAAAGTTCTTCCATAATAGCCACAATCCACCAATCTGCAACTCTCTCGGCAGTCACAAAACATCTCCATCTCCTTTTCATCTGGGCTACACTTGCCACTTTTCTCTAAGTGATCCACCGTGAGGTTGAAATCCCCCATCACCAGCCATGGGATTTGTACCTGCCTGTGTAGCTTTTGTATAAATTCACAAGTTTTCGTCTTATTTTGAGATTGTGGCAAGCCATACAAACCTGTTAGATGCCATACAACTTGGGAGCATGGCATTCTAATTTGCACGTCTATGAAGTGTAAATCACAATCATTAACTTTCACTTCAACCTCCTCTTTCTACAACATTAGAAGACCACCTGCCCTGTTTTCTGCTGCTGCAACTCCGTTGCCTTCATGATAACCAAATACTTTGATTTTCTTCTTCCATTCTTATTCATATTGTCGTGTTTCCATTAGAAACACCACATCATGATTCGTCTGACGTAGTAGCGTTTTTAGTTTTTCAACTGACGGGGTATTCCTGAGTCCCCGACAGTTGTAGCTCAAAAGACTCATTGAGCTCGGCGATCCTGTTCTTTAACAAGGTCCGCCTCTTCGTCATCCTTATAAATTACCATGATAATCTTATTATTGTTCTTTCTATAACCTTGAACATGCTCGACTATGGGCCTGTGCTGGTAGCCCGCCAACAAAGGATCTCACAATTCAAGGGGCCTGCATCAAATACAAGAAGTTAAGTTTTAGTTACAACTTATAAGCAATTAGGCTAATTTGTAGGCTTCTTATAAAAATAGAATTTTATTTATTTGAGGCCAATACTACGGTGCCGTTGTTTCCGATTGGTCCAGGTAGGAATGACGAGACTTGTTTTATTAAATCAGCTCGATAGACATAGGAACTGCCGAACTGGCCAAAACTACCAGTTGCCCGTAGTAACGGAGAAGCCTTGATTCCATCTTCTCAATTTCTCATTTCTCTATCTCTTGTTATTTATTTTCCATAAATTTCTTAAGGGTCGTTTGGATGGATCAATCTAAAAATGAGTCAATTGGATTAATTGTTTCGTTTTATAAACGAGGCAATTAAAACGAGTCAATTCGAATTACCCACCCCCACCCCAGGTAATTGAAATTGACTCAAAACGGATCAATTCAAAATACCTCGGGCAGATTGATCCATCCAAATTTTTTGCTGGCAAACGAGACAATTTGGTACAATTGTCTCAAAACGAGACAATTGTGTCAAATTGATCCGTTAGAATTCCTCATCCAAACGACCCCTTAGAAATTCAAATCAATTTTCTAATTTGTTAACCCAAAACTGAACGCCGACTTCCTTAGTCTCCCATTCCGTCGACTTGCCGTTCGCCAAGCCAATCTCTAGTGCCTCCATTGAATTGGTTCACTATCTTCATCATTTTCATGCTACGGCAAACACTTTCGCATAAAAATAAAAGAAATGAAAGGAAACGAGCATCATACCCCATTTCTCCTTCTCCCTTCATACTCCGTGATTTATCTGACTCCAAATCTCCAATAAGGAGGTGCAATTCGAGAATCTCCGCTCGATTTTCAACTTGTTGACTAGTACAACTGTACAAGCATGGAGGCGCGATCGTTCAGCTTCTTGGCTGCGGCGAACGAGTTTAGTATTATGGGGTTAGGGTTTTCTGTGATGAAGGTCTCAAGCTGGAGTGTCAAATACGTCAAATTCTTGTCATTGGTAATCTTTAATATGACGTATTGGAGGTTGAGAGACGACTAATACTAGTGTTTGTTTTTTGGAGTTATAAAAATAACAAGAGATTAGGTGAGAGACGAGAGTGACTTAGACTGGAAAGTCAAAATTGTGTTGGATGGAGGCTTCTAAGTTTTGAAAGAGTGAGGAATGACCTAAGGTTGTGTGCTGAATTTCATTAATTTTTAGGGTTAATATTTTCGCATGGCCTGAACTTTGACCAAAATAAACATCCTGGCCAATCTTTTCGATCTATAACATTCTGGACCCAACTATACACCAAAATAAACAATTTGGCCAAACCCGATGTTTGACCGTTAACTAGGATGGTCAAACGCGTTGACTAATGGTCAACGCGCCACGTCACTGCCACGTCAGTGCCAAGTCAGAAGATCTGATAAATATTTAATTTTTTTTGTTTTTTATTTTTGATTTAACTAAGGTATTAAATGACTTTTTTAATTTATAATAATTTAAAATTATGGAATGTGTGGAAATTGTGAATTGGTTTAAATATTTTATGTTGACTTGGCAGTGACATGGTGCGTTGACTAACGGTCAACGCGTTTGACCGTCCAAGTTAACGGTCAAAAGTCGGATTTGGCCAAATTGTTTATTTTGGTGTATAGTTGGGGCCAGGATGTTATAGATCGAAAAGATTGGCCATGATGTTTAGTTTGGTCAAAGTTCAGGCCATACGAAAATTTTAACCCTAATTTTTAACTTTCGGTATTTCGGTATATTACCGACCCCAATCTCGTAATCCCGAATACCGAATAACACTTGAAAATGAATCCCAATCCCAATTCCTAAAATATAAGCCGGTATTCGATAATACCTAAAAGTGATAAATTCGGTACGGTATACTGTATATACCAAATACCGGTACCAAACTTCGAGCCCTATATCAAGTATTGAACCCTTGACTTTTTTGATAATGAATAAGTATCATATCAATACACTAAAGATTATTTCTTGTTTATTTTCAATTTTATTAATTTTAATTTATTTATATTCTGAGAAGAGGACACATGTATGTTTGAATCCTGGCTTCGCCACTGGCAGACATTGTGATCATCAAATTGATAAGTAATTAAGTATTCCATTCGATAACTTTTGCAAGTGACGCCCAAGTGATCCTGGGGAAGATCAGGGAGGGTGAGGTAGCTGAAGTCCATGGAGGAACGTTGTTAGAAGAAATTCGAAGTATGTGAGACTTGTTCCAGGAATTTCAGGTTATTTTTGTGGGTCGGGAGTTTAATAGGGTTGCCCATTTGGTGGCAAGAAAAGCTCTTTTGTTGTCCCCTTCTTTGGCGGGGTTCAATTTCATTTCTTGGCTGTTTTGAGCTATGTGACTCTTTTGTATCTGCCTGTTTTCTTGGTAATACGAGTGACATTTTGGCAAAAAAAAAAAAAAAAATACTATATTAAATTAGTCATGCCCTATAAGACCAGAGTAGAGTTTGCTATAGAGTATATACAATATTTTAGTCACTAAATATTAGACTCATAAATCATCATATGTAAACATTGTGATAATCAAACTAATAATTAATTAAACTCTTAAACATCATATGTAAACATTGAGATAAGCTTTCCCTCTTCTTTCTCTTCAAAGAAAATTGAAAATACAAAATTGTCACTTTATTTTTCTTTCCATGAATCAAAAACACCAAAATTCTCACCTCTTTCTTTTCTTGATAAATCAAAAACCCCAAAACTAACCCTTATTTCTTTTCGCAAAAGATGAAGCTCCAAATTCCCTCTTCTTTTTATAAAGTTGAAAACACCAAAATTTTCAACTTATTCCTCTTCCTATAAACCAAAGCACCAAAAATTTCCCTTGTTTCTTTTCCCAAAAATTTATGTACCAAATTTCCTTCTTCTTTTTATACACAAAAAATTGAAAACACAAAAATTTCCCACTTCTTTATCTTTTCACAAATCAAAAGCACCAAACTTCTCCTTCTTTATTTTATTAAAAATACATAATTTCAACATAATTTTATTTTTTAAACTTTCTTGACAAAATGAAAAATAATTTGAAGTTAAGGAAAAATCATTTCACTAAACTCATTCCTCCTTCCATTTTTTTTTGTGTGTTTATTCCCACTTTAGCTAGTGTGTCCTATGCTCATATTGCTTCTGTCCCCACTAGAATTTGGAGATGATGCTGTGAATTTCCTTTACCAGCCACTTACACTGGTATTAGGTAACACTGACATGACATAAATAGTTTGCACGCACTTAAGCAACTACTTTTATTAGCAGTTCCAAACCTGCATATATAGAAGAGGAGTAAATTGCAAGGCTGTTCACTGAGCTTACAAAATACGTTCATGTTCGGTCACTACAAATATTTAATTCCATTCGTGGTCACTAAGATTAGTTCAATAGTTCATATTTGGTCACTCTCCGTTAGTCTCCGTTAACTTTTCCTGATGTGGCAGTCAACATTCATAGTTGACCGTTAAATTAGTGACGTGGCTATTAAAAATAATAAAAACATATTCATTAAAAAATAAATTAAAAACCTAATTTCTACTAACCTTTCTCTTCTCCCCCTTTCTTTTCACCAACTCCCCGTCTGAAAGTCCCCATCGACAAAACCCAATTGGGTAAAGGAGAAGAAAATGCAAGACTTCATCAGATCGGTCAGGCGGTCGCTTGTCTTTCGTTCACGCAGAGAGCAGCCGCACTACGGCGGAACTCAACAGCGGCGGAAGCCCTCCATTAACGGGGACTCGCCCATTGGTCGACAAGATCGATTCATGCATTCGGAAGTTGAGAATCTTCGCCAAACCTCCGTCTTCCCCTCCGCTTCGCATGGCCCATCCAATCCGGTACCGGAAAGGAGAGCTGATCGAGTGCGGCGTGTTTGGGCAGGTCTATATGGGCATGAATCTTGATTTGTTTCTTTACCTAAACTAATCACCTAATCGCGCAATCTAATTCTTTTCCTTACCTACTGCCTCACTTTGATTCGTTTCTGAATCGGAAAATTCCGATTCCAACGACAATGGGGCAATGGCGGGCGGCCAGGAGCTGGAGACAACGATTGTTGGCGGGAACAGGAGACTTCAAAAAGAAAAGGCGATGCCAGATCTGGGTCAAATTTGGGTGCTCAGCTTCATTAAGTGCACTGCGTCCTCGCCGACGGGACGAGGAGATCAAGTGGCGCCGATGGCGGAGACTGCCGCGGCGGCTGATTGATGGAGACGGCGGCGGACTGGAGATAGAGAGATGGAAACGGTGACTTGTGTTTCCTGAGGCGGAGCTGTAGCTGGAGGCGGCGATTGGCGACGGAAGTCACTGATGTGGTTTCTCACGGAGACTTGGAGCTGGAAGTTCACGGCAGTGAGGTTCCCGGCGGTGATGAAATAGGAGTCGATGTTGCAGATGGCGACGGGGGATTTGATGAACAAGGGAGTCGGTTCAGTTATGGCCAAGTCGGAGACTTTGGTCGTCTTCGCTGGGACCGACGCCTGGAGAGGACAACGACGATGAGTCCTCATCCGGCAATGAACAGAGAAGATAGCGGCGGCGGTGATGTTAAAGGCGGATTAGATGCTATTATCATCATAGTCGTCCTAACTCTGCTAACGTGTGTCGCTGCTACAGGCTTCGTCAAACTCTAAAGCTGTCAACGTTTTCGAAAACGGGTACCCAGAGATTGTTTTGTTGCAGTAGTTTAATTCTTATAGATTAAATTTTATTTTATTAGTAGCCACGTCACCAATTTAACGATCAACTATAAATGTTGACTGCCACATCAGCAAATGTTAACGGAGACTAACGGAGAGTGACCAAATTTGAACTATTGAACTAATCTTAGTGACTACAAATGGAATTGAATATTTGTAGTGACCAAACATAAACATTTTTTGTAAACTCAGTGACCAGCCTTGCAATTTACCCTATAGACCCAAGGTATATCACGTGATGCTCAACACGCTTCATTCATAGAACAATAATCAATTCTTGTCGTCTCCTTTGATCCATTAGGACAAAATTAAATAATAGTTTTGACTTCACGCGGTTCTCTTTTTTCAGGACTCTGCCTCATAAAGGCTTAAGATTATCTTTAGGTTTTTGCACTCTGGGATAGGGTGGCTATATGGTCCGGTCCGGTTAAATTGACCCAAATTGATCCGGTCCAGTCCGGTCTTTTAAAAAATATAAGGATCAAAGATTGGATTGGATACAGTCCGGTCTTGACCCGGTCCGGTCCCAATTTGGTCTTGATTTTATATTGAGTTTGTGGGGATTTGAGTGGCCTAAGGCCCAAAAGGGAGAGGCGTTGGTTAAGTTTTGTACTAAGTGCAAAGGTTTGTAACCGTTTATGCAAATTACCCTTAAGTTTTGGGTGTTGAGCTCTCTTATCCGGTCTTTATCCAGTTTTCGATCCGGTCCCAAATGGTTTTTTACCTCAAATCTAAACCCAAAAATTGAATTGGATTGTTTACTATCCGGTCCCGGTCTGATCTCGGTACGGGTTATACGGTCCAGTTTTGGGTAAAACCCAAAAATCCGGACCAAATAGCCAACCCTAGTCTAGGCGGGTATTGATAAATAGTGAATACGTGAACAAAGTAAGCAAGACAAACACGGTATTTACGTGGTATCCCCGAAGGATCGGGTCTAGTCCACGAGAGAGAGAGAAGTCTCTCCAGCTACTGATCTTATTGATGTATTACTTGGTTAGCCAATCGGCTGTACAAGAGTATTTATACAATAAGTATTCGTAGCTAGGGTTCCATCACTACTCAAGGCCAAGGTACGTGAAGGAGCAGTCATGCAGGAGGCTGACTGGCGGGCCAACTCTTCCTCGACGTGGGCCAAGCCAGAAGTGGGCTGGAGGCTCGATGACACGACCCGACCTAATACGCCCCCGCAAGCTGGACGGTGAAGATCTCGAACGTTCAGCTTGGAGAGGAGGAAGCGAGGAAGCGATCTGTACCTAAGCCTTTGGTGAAGATATCAGCCAGTTGGAGCTCGGAACTGAACTTTCGAGGAGCGATATCACCGGAAACAACACGCTCTCTTACAAAATAGTAGTCCATCTCGACATGCTTAGTACGTTCGTGGAACACCGGATTGGCAGCAATGTGAAGCGCTGCCCGATTATCACAGTAGAGAGGTGTGGCATGAGGAGGAGAGACTCCTAACTCGCGGAGTAACCATCGGAGCCAGAGAACCTCACTAACCGTACTAGCCATGGTGCAGTACTCAGCCTTGGCAGAAGAACGAGCAACAACCTTTTGCTTTTTCGTGCGCCAGGAGATAGGCGCCGACCCCAACGTAATATAGAAGCCCGTGGTAGAGCGTGATATGATCCCAATTGGATCAATCCATAATTCACAATTGCTTGCCAAAGAAGTCATCTCAACTCACTTGAAGAATTCTGATTTTTGGCTAAGTGTTGAAACAGGTGTAGGTAGCCTACTTTGGAAGATTGTATCTCACAAATGGCTCAATCAAAATGGGCGATCAAGAGCTTGTTTTGAAGATAATGTTATTATGTTTACATTGGTATGTTTTGGAGCTCAAGGAGATGTTTGGAAGGTCACTTTCAAAGCCCATCAAAAAGCTACCTCAAAACAGAAAAACTGCCTAAATTTGGCTAAGGCAGAAAACTGTTTTGAGATACCAACTTTGAAGGCCTATATCTGAAGTTTCGAGCATGATCTCAGGCTGATTCAAGTTGGAGGTGAAATAGGAAATTTTCTTCTAGAAAGGAAAGGAATTGGTTGAATTCGAATCAACCTAGAAGACCATTTTCGAAGGGCTCAAAGATGCTATAAAGCCTATTTTCCTAGGCAGACTTGCTTGCGTTTTAAGTAAGTTTCTTGGCCAGCAAGTTACCTTGTTTTACACGAATTCTTTAGCCTTTTTCAGTTCTAATTAGTTTCCTTGTTCATGTAGGGTTGTATTAGGATTATTTGGCTATAAAAGCCTTTCTTTTGATTGTAAAAATAGAAGACTTTGATTATACGAAAAACAAACCCGTTGGTTTTGTGCAAGTTGCGACTTGTTTGAGTTTGGTGGATTCCAAGCTTGTGAGCTTTGTATCGATTGAATATCCTCTTCAATCGTGGTCGAGCAGCTACCCATTTATACCATACGAGCTTTCCCCAGGTGTGGAATTGTCCATTGGTTCCGTTTTATTCCAATTTCGTATTAAGAGCGCTTCGTTCTTGATTCGAGTTCAATCAATCTTTGGATTGATTGTTTGCTGCATTACTTTGATAAAAATACACCCCCCAGGGGCGTATTAGAGCGACGAGTGCTTTGATAACCTGCCTAGTCGGCATCGCAGTAGGCAACAAGATCTAGGGGACCTTGCGCTGGTAGAAAAAGCCCCTGACCAGGCGACTGCTTAAGGTATCGGAGAATATGGAAAGCGGCATCCATGTGTGCTTGAGTGGGTGCATGAACAAACCGACTCAAGATGTTGACCCCGTAGGTGATGTCTGGGCGAGCCATCATGGAGAGGTGGAGAAACATCAGGCTTGGTAAGCTGGTGATTTTTCTCGACTGGGAAGGCACTAGGGCGAGCCGCCTGTACGCTAGCTTCTTCAAGAATGTCAAGGACATACTTCCTTTGACTGAGAATGAGACCTTGGGGAGAACGAGCAACTTCTATGCCAAGAAAGTAACGCATAGGCCCCAAGTCTTTCATGCTGAACTGTTTATCCAAAAAATCTTTCACACGAGATATGAAACCAAGATCATTCCCAGTGAGAAGCACGTCATCAACATAGATTAATGCAACAACAAAGGTGTCTTCACGCTTATAGACAAATAATGAGTGGTCGGCAGGAGAGGCGCTAAACCCCATCTCACACAACGTTGTAGTGAACTTGTGATATCAATTGCGCGAGGCCTGGCGCAATCCATATAGTGACTTGTGTAGTTTGCACACCCGCTGGTCGCCAGGATCTGCAAAGCCAGGGGGTAGACGCATATACACTTCTTCTTCAAGATCTCCATGTAGGAAAGCGTTATTGACATCTAACTGATGTAGAAACCAGCCCATGTGAATAGCAACAGTGAGGAGACAACGCAGAGTAACGAGCTTGGCGACGGGGGAAAAAGTGTCATGAAAATCAACTCCTTCGACTTGAGTAAAACCCTTGGCGACTAAGCGAGCCTTGTATCGCTGAATAGAACCATCTGGCCAATACTTTTTTTTGAACACCCACTTGCAGTCAATTATGCGACGATTTTCGGGAGCAATTACATGACTCCAAGTCTTGTTTTGTTCTAGGGCGGCAATCTCTGCGGCCATGGCAGCACGCCAACACTCGTGACGAACTGCTTGATTAAAAGTGCTGGGCTCATCCTCCTTGGAAACAGCTGCAAGAAAGGCCCGATAATGTGTGGATACATTAGCATAGGAAACATAGTTCGCCAGAGGGTACCTGATAGCAAAGGCCTGGGCGAATTGAGTGTCATAGTCCTCAAAGTGTTTGGGACGTGTCCGTGCACGGTCGCTGCGACGGAGAGGTGCGATGACTGGGTCTCTCACAGTATGGGCTGGGGACGGCCCATTAGGCCCTGAGCCAGAAGTGGGCTGCGGTGATGATGACCCAGGATCCGTGGAGGAGATGGACTGGGATGGTGGCGAGCCAGGGTCCGAGCTCGTCTCGGCCCATGGCGGATTTGTCTTCGGCCCGGTAGTGAGAGGGTTGCCAGCCACACCCTCCTGCCGATTTTGCTGCGGCCCACTAGTGGGAGGAAGCCTAGCCGCATGCTCCTGCCGATTTTCTTCCAAAGGAGTGGCAGGACCGTATGTTTCTTGAGGAATAGGAGCGCTTTGAAAGACTGCTGTAGGTAGGCAGTGATACTCGCTAGGGTCCTATGCACGATAAGGAAAATGAGATTCTTGAAAAACAACATCACGAGAGACAATCATCTTCTGGGTATCAAGATCAAACAATCTATAACCCTTATGAGTGGAGGCATAGCCAAGAAAGACACAAGTACACCCCCGTGCAGCAAACTTATGGAGGTGGTTGTGTGTATCCTTGGCATATGCAAGGCAGCCGAAGACCTGGAGATGATCGTAGTGAGCTGGGCGGCCAAAAAGCACCTCAAAAGGGGTCTTGCCTGTGGCCGACGTAGGAAGCCGGTTGAGCAGATAGACGGAGGTGAGAACACATTCTCCCCAAAACCGAAGAGGTAAACCTGCATGGAACCGAAGAGCTCTGGCAGTATCCTAAATATGACGATGCTTTCGCTCCACCACACCGTTTTGCTGTGGTGTGTCAGTGCAACTGGTTTGCAAAACAATACCCGATCGATCATAGAAGTCGAGTAATGGAGCAGTTCGAAATTCCAAGCCATTGTCCGCCTGGATGCGATGCACTTTCCTGTTAAATTGAGTCCAAACCATCTCGCAGAACATAAGCACAAAACGAGCAACATCAAATTTGAACTTGAGTAAATATACCCATACTCCACGACTGAAATCGTCGAAAATAGTGAGAAAACAGTGAGCACCGCTCAGAGAGGCCTGTTTGCAAGGGCCCCAAATACCCATATGAATCAAGTCAAAACAACCCGTAGTTTTAATGGATCTAGAAGAAAAAGGCAACCGACTCTGTTTA